CAAACTTCATCTCTCATACTTCAGACATATTGACAGGAGGGACCAGTCACTGGGGAAGGATATCATGTTTGGCAGGGTGGAGGGTCAGAGGAAAAGAGGAAGACCCCCAATCGGGGTTGGCCCAGGATCGGGCAGTGTTTCGTTCTGCTGTGCATAAGGTCTCTGCTGTGCATATGCTGTGTGTATATATATATGTTGTTGTTAAGTGCCATTGAGTCGATTCTAATTCATAGCAACCCTGTACAGGGTTTCTGAGGAGCAGCTGGTGAACTTGAACTGCCAATCTTGTGATTCAAACGAACTTGCAGTCCAGCACATTAACCCACAGCGCCACATCAGGATTCCTATATATATAATTTTATTAGAAGCTTTTGACGTATCATCTCTTTTGAATTCACTTTATGCTTTGGTTTGAAAACCACATGACTGTTGAGTCAATTCCAATTCACAGCAACCCTATAGAGCAGCGGGGAATTGCCCATAGGGTTTCCAAGGTGTAAATCTTTACGGAAGCACAATGCCACATTTTTCTCCCGTGGAGCAGCTGGTGGGTTCAAACCACGAACCTTTTAGTTAGCAGCCACGGTGCCCCCAGTTCCACTCTATCCCTCACAAAATGCATCTCTTTCCCTTTCTCAGACAGTTTCCTAAAGCAAGAGTACCAAAGGACAGTCCATTATCACATACCTAGCATGGACCTTACCTGGGGACAGGTGAGTGTGGTACCTGCCTATCATAAAACTATAGGTGTTTGATTTCAAAGTTGGTGGGTGATATAGTGTGTTCATATTCAGGCATCTGAGGTTTCAGTCAGAATTCTTCTTTTTCCTAGAGACTTAGTAAAGCCCCATAGTTTCTTCCCAGCTCCCACCTCGGTCATTTTATCAGATATATCTTAGTCATAAATTACATTGGCCTGCACTTAACAACAACAATAATCAGGTTTCTAGATTCACAGTACTCTGGTAAACTGATATTGACAGAGAGGGAGAAAGGCAAGAATTTTTCTAACATTCTTGTCAAAATTGGGGCTTTATTACCTTCATAGGGAGTCTCCAAGGTCATACAAGGAAAGGGTAAACAGAGACTTCTTCCCCCTTTTCTCCAACCAACCCAGTATTTCCCCCCACCTTGGCCTCTGAGGGTCTTGGGTAATGGTGATTTCTTCTGCTGCCTTGTAGGTATTTGGTATCTTAGAATCAATTAAAGATGAATATGGATTAGAAGATTATTCTATTAGTCATAACACACTGGAGCAAGTATTCCTGAACTTTGCACAAATGCAGATTCAAACAGAACAAAATAATAAAGATAACTGAAGAGCGGTTCCAACCACCATCCTTCACCATCTTGCTAGCCTTCGGCTACACAGTGATATTTATAGATACGTGTGTATGTATCTACCTTGAGATATATATATGTGTGTGCATGTGTATGTAAGAAAATGTTCCCAGGGAATAAAATAATTATTTTTAAAGAAATTTCCTAATGAGTTCATCTTCTACTTTGAGGACTACCTGAGATTGTATTCTCTGGAGAAGCAAAACCAATGAAGATTATTTATGTGTGGTGTATACATATATGTGTGTGTTGTTGTTGTTGCTAAGTGCCATTGAGTCAGTTCTGAATCATTTCAACCCTGTATAGGGTTTCTGAGGAATGGCTGGTGGGTTTGAATTGCCAACCTTGTGATTGGTGGTGGTTATGTGCCGTGGAGTCGGTTCTGACTCATAGCGACCCTGTACAGGGTTTCTGAGGCTGTAAATCTTTACGGGAGCAGAAAGCCTCATCCTTCTCCTGCAGAACAGCTGGTAGTTTCGAACTGCTGATCTTAAGGTTCACAGCCTGATTCGTAACCACTACACTACCAGAGCTCCTAATAACCTTGTGATTAGCAGTCCAGCAATGAATAATCCCACGATTAGCAACTCAGACTGCAGGCTGCTGGCTCATAAATTGTGGAAGGTGATGAATCCAAGATCAGCAGATGAGAGAGCAGACTCTTGGCTCATAGGCTGCAGAGCCTTATTTATCTATCTGAACAGGCGGCTATTTCCTTAAAAGTCTGATCTTTTCAGTATTCATTGCACACATACAAGGAAGAAATATTCAGGACGAGTACAGTTTTCATCTCTGTAACTGGCCATGTGGACATAGCTGGTATTTAGAACTACCTTCTTCCACCATCCATTTCATACTCCCTTTACCCTCAGGAAGTCCCTCAGCTGGTCATGGTTTTTTACCTGGTGGGGTGACCCAAATCTTCATTTCTGAAGGGTCTAGGCCATTAAAAGTCACTTCAAAATTGTGTTGCTGTAGTGATCCATTGACTTTAATCAAAGGGCATGATAGTACCAAGAGATGTCCTAAGGAAGCTCCTGTATTCCAGATATACTTTTTCTTACTTCCATTATGTAATATGAATCCGATTTCCCCTTGATAATCAAGATAAATCACAATCACCAATACATTAACTCCATTCTTTACCTGTCGCTCCCGAGGCATGAGCAGCCCAAAGTGGCCAGGTGACATTCATAACTTCCAGTTCAATAGAATCAGTGTTTTGTCTCCAGGTGAAGAGTTTTCCTTCCTTTGAAACAAAGATCTGCAGACCCTCACAACAAAACATCCCAGAAACAGAAAGGAAAAGTGTTGTGAGTGAGTCAGTAGGAGTCATAGTGAGTGGTGCCTCTCCCATTTCCACCCCCTTGGTTCCTAGAACCATGAACTCTGGCTACTGGAGAAACAGCATCATACATTAGACACTGCTTTAGAGCATATGCAGTCTCCTGGAGAAACTACCCCAACGCTACAATGTATTGGCACCTAGCTGGTACCACAGTTATATGTAGAAGGCTGTTTCATTGTGGGATATGGTGGGAATCTCGGTAGCCCCTGCATCCTTCTTGATGGTACCAGTGATCTCTATAATTCTTCCAATTCCTCCAGGACTGTAAGATTGCTTTGGGTTTACTATTTTCCTAGGTAGGGGCAGTTCTAATGGCCTCCACTTGGTGTTTTTTGTTGTTGTTGTTGTTGTTGTTGTTTTTTTACCATAATAGCCCTTGTTGACAGTTGCTGGAAATGTCTATTCCAATGCAACAGAGGTGGAGACTTCACTATAGGATGGGTTCAGGAACCCACTGGATCCACTGTGAAACAGACTTGAGATGAGACTCCATTGATAATCTGACCTCTGTATGTCTACGCTCTGACTCATGGAGCACAGCAACATTTTGGGCCTCCTGGAATTAAAGTCAATTAAGAGCCACCATCCAGTAATCCCTGAAAAGTCTTATTTCCTTTTCCCCTATAAATAGTCATCTTGTAAAAGCACATAGATTTCTTTGGGGAAGCATGGGAGAAAGATGAATAAATGTTTGGCAGTATAGTGGGGTCCTTCCTCAAAGGGACCCAGCCACCCTTCTTTCAAGGGGTTATGGGTTTGTAAACAAGCTCAAGTCTGGAAATTGAGGAACCACGACGCTCTCTTCTGGCAACTCACGTTAGGTTGCCGTTTGACCTATAAACATTCCACTTCCACCAGCCACTTCACAGGAGAAAGATGAGGCTTTCTACTCCCATAAAGATTTAGAGGTTCAGAAACCTTATCTAGGGTCACTATGAGTCAGAGCCAACTCAGCAACACCACAGCAACAGATCAAGTAAATGTTTAATAGATTTCCCATCTATTTCACTTCTGAGGACACCAAGCCTAAGTAGGCAGCGCCGTAAGTCCATATGAGTCCGACCATTCTAACTGGTGCTTTGATCACCATATTCATTCACATTTGTCAATTAAATGCTGCCACTTGGTTCCTACCATCACAGGGCCCAATCAGCCCTATTGTTGTAGTGGTGGTTGCTTAGTGCCAGCAACTCAGTTCCGACTCATAGCTATCCTGTATAGAGTTTCCAAGGAGCAGCTGGTGAGCTTGAACCACCAACCTTGTGGTTCAAACCCACCTTGTGGTCGAGTGCGTAGCCTAAAGCACCACACAAGTGTCTTCAATTAGTGCAGTAGCCACTGTCAAATCTGACTTACATAAAATACAGCTTCAAGTATACTGGGACTTCACAAATTGGTTCCTCACCTTTGTGGTGAATGGTTATGTCCTTTGTGCATTCTACGTGTGAATCTATGGGTCTATGCTGATAAAGCCACTTTTAATATGCCAATTTCCCTAAACCATTTAGTATCTTCTTCTACAGTATACCAAGTCAGGCTGGAACTTTACACAACCCATGCTTCAGAGAACCAACCAAATAAACAGAGACTTTCCTGACCTCTCAAGCTGAAACACAGAATGAAGACTCTGTGCTTCTTGTTGTTGTTGTTGTTGTTGTTGTTAAGTGCCGTCGAGTCAATTGCAACCCATAGCAACCCTGTTTTTTAGGGTTTCCAAGGAGCAGCTGGTGAGCTTGAACCACAGTTCAAACGGCTTTGCAGTCTGATGCATTAGCCCACAACGCCACACCAAGACTTGTGCCCTCAAATCGGTTCCAACTCACAGTGACCTTGTATAGGGTTTCCAAGGAGCAGATGGTGGATTTGAACCACTGACCTTGTAGTTAGCACGTCAGTGCTTATTCTACAGTGCCACACCAGGACTTCGTGTGCTGCTGGGGCCTGTATCGATAAATTCAGACTGATCCACTTTATGTTCCTTGCAGTATTATCACATACCCGTAACAGCCATTCACACACATATTCTCCAGGTTTCTGTATGTGCAGTTCTTTGGGAGTACTGCATGAATTTCTTCTTGGATCACTTTGTACTTCACCTTTTGGGACTCGCTAAGACTTAAATCTAGTTTTAGGTATAGAGGCACAAATGGGTGGTAGAGGTGTATCCTGGGGACATTCAGCAATGTCTTATAAGTCATCTGCCTCACATGATACCCCAGACAATGCCCCAGATGCTGCCCCATGCAAGAGCTCAAAAACTCATCAAGCACAGCTGGGTTAATCTCATTAGATGGGGGTAAGAGATCTGGTTGGTTCCAGGAGTGATTCAGAATTGAGGGGTTCAGTGTCCCCAACTTCCTGATTATCAGCCCATAAGTCCTCATCCCAAATTTAGGATCTCATTCCTTTCCAATCACTGTTCTCACTTTAATTTCAGGCACCATTCACAGGGGGTGGGAGTTGCCATTGTAATTCAGCTACTCTGTTTTTGGTTTTCAGCAATATCAGCTCTATTATTATGAGAATTGGTGTGTGGGGGCTCTGTAGGATAAGCACTCAACTTAAATCATAATGTCCGCTGACCAGCTGCTCTGCAGGAATAAGATGAGGCTTTCTGCTTCCACAAAGATTTACAGCCTCAGAAACACTAAACAGGGTTGCCATCAGTTGGAACCACTCGACGGCATTTAACATCAATAGTACGAGAACTAAGATTTTTGTTTAGGGCACAGTGGCAACGTTGAGATCTTTTATGCCATATTTGAGCTGTCGTTCTGAAGCCCTGAGCTCATCTCTTTCTTTCACCACTTTGTCTAGTATAAATAGCACCAGCCAACCAGCTTCCTTATACTTATTCTGACAAAATCCTGGAAATGTACCAAATGTGATCACCCATAGCCTCACTTCTTGCCAATCCTATGAGCGGTGAGATTTTGTGTATTAATAGTGCCACTTCATGCTGTGGGTTAGGAACAGCCTCTTTACTAATGGGGGCAGAGTCGTCAGTGACTTGAAGACTAGTTAGTCTTGAGAACCAATTAAGAAAACTCATCCTGACCATTTTGTTTCTGGAGAATCACTCTCAGTACCAACTGTCTTAAAGTGTTTCTCTAGAAAAGCAAAACCGGAGATGCTTATCTCAGGAAATGGCCAAACCAGTTACCATGTAGGCCCAGCCATCACAAGGACGAAAACAAGGGCTGATGTGTGCAAAAAGTTCTTTAGCTGTATGAGGAACAAAGATGGAAAAACCAGTGTTTGGAGATCTTTCAGAAAAGTTTCTATACTTTTTATTCCACAACAAACTCCGATGAGAAGAAAAATTAGCATTTGTCAGGACAAGTAGAAAACAAAATGAATTAAAAAGTGAGATTTGAAGGACAGATTCATTCAGTGATCAAAGTATCTGTCATGTAAGACGCATTTGAGAGTTTGGTGTAAGAGCAAAGTCGGGGACATTGCTTGCTGAATAGAGCACAGCTTCTTAAACTTGTTGAGACACTAAATAGACTCTACTCGCAGAGATTTTGATTCTGTAAAACTGAAATGGGGCCCAGACATCTGCATTTTCATAAGCTCAGGGTGGTTATGATGCAGAGGGTACAGACATGCGGAGAAAAATACCAGTGGTATTATTAAGATATACTGAACGAACTTCTAAACATGCAGATACCCTGGCCTTATCTCAAACCTAACTGCAAAAAAAATGGCATAGACCATTCCTCCCACAGCACTGTCTACTCAGCTTGATTTAATAACTCATCACACTGGCCACTCAGAACTCAGATACCATCTTCACAGTTACGGGGTTTTTAGGGATGTTAACAGGTCACAAGTCAGGTCAGAAATGCTCAGGGCATAGTTCTTCCAGTCAGTCAGCCTCTCTTCAACAGGTCCCACAGGCAGGCCGCTCTCCGCCCAGACAATGTTACAAAGTTCTTTCAGGGCTGCTGATAAATGCACAAAGGACACTCCACTCTGCTATACACGTCTGCGCCAGAAGGCACTCAGCTCAAATTCCATGAGTCAGCAAACCTAGTTCTTGGTCTATGTACAGGTTCCTTATGTATACAATTTCTGTGCTAAGAAATTTGGAAGACAGCTGCCTACCTACCTGGCCAACCGATTGGAAGAGATGAATATGTGTGCTCATTCCAATGAGAATACCTTGACAGGGAACTGCCAGAAATTCCAGTTAGATTCAGAAGAGAAAGTGGAGCTAGGGATGACATCATTATACTGACATCAGATGGATTTTGGCTGAAAGCAGAAAACGCCAGAAAGATGTTTTCACTTGTGCTTGATTGACTATGCAAAGGTTTTCAACTGTGTGGATCATGTCAAACTATGGATAACACTGTGAAGAATGAGTATGTATTTTAGACCACTTAATTGTGCTCAGTCCAGGACAGTCTCTGAAGAAGGGCATCATGCTTGGTAAAGTGGAGGATTAGCGAGTAAGAGGGAGATTCCCCCCCACAAGATGCATTAACACAGTGGCAGCAACAAGTAGAAACATAACAATTGTGAGGGTGACAAAGGACCAGGAGTGTAACATTCTGATGTGCACAGGATTGCTATGAGTCTCAATCCACTCCATGGCATCTACCAACAACATGAGTTGGACTCCACTAGATGGCAGTGGGTTGGTTGGTTGGCTGGTCACTGGAATACGGACTGGGTTGACAGTGACCCCTGAAGATAGAGAACCCAGTGAGTGATAATGAACTGAACTGTGGTTTTGCTAGTGGAAATGGCAACAAGGAATTAACTTCACAATCTCTTTGCAAGGATGAAGGAACCCTGGTGACACAGGGGTTAAAGGCTCAGCTACTAACTGAAAGAAAAGGTCAGTGGTTCGACCCATCAGCCCTCTACTGGAGAAAGATGTGGCAGTACATTCTGTAAAGATTACAATCTCAGAAAACCTTTGGAGCAGGTTCTATCCCATATCGGTCACTACGAGATAAAGTAGAGGACAGTGGGTTAGGTTTGGAGGGTGGGAAGGGAGGGATGCTTTACAAGATAGAATTGACTCGGTGCCATACTTTTCTTGGGTCTTAGATGTCACCTGGAGTCATGTTACAGCACCAGAGAGACTACTATAGAGGTGACGAAATTCAACCACAGAACAAAGGGACCTAAAGTTTGCTTACAACATTGGTGGTGGTTATGTGCCGTGGAGTCGGTTCCGACTCATAGCGACCCTGTACAGGGTTTCCGAGGCTGTAAATCTTCAAGGGAGCAGAAAGCCTCATCTTTCTCCTGAGGAACAGCTGGTAGTTTCGAACTTCTGACCTTGAGGTTCGCAGCCCGATTTGTAACCACTACACTACCAGAGCTCCTTAATGTTTCTCAAATTGTAATCATCTTGGGCTCTTGTTAAAATGCAGACTCTGATCTAGTAGTGCCCTCGGATTCTGCATTCCTACTAAACTCCAGGTGACGTTGCAGATGCTGTAAGTCTCTACGACTGGAAAGCAGCAAGATAGAAAGTGTGTCCTTAAAGGGCAAGGACCAGGCCTTAAATTTGTAATACTTGGGGTGCAGCTGAACTCTTTTCCACAGTTCGTCTTTCTCAATAAGCAAGTCCCAGTACACACAGTTGTACGACTCAAGACACTTATTTTCATATGAAAACTCGAGTTTGCTTTAATTTCTACGTCTCCCAGCCTACAGTATAAACTCATGAAAGCAGAATCCTTAGGACTAGCTTATGTGTGTCCGTGGCTTGTTCTAAGGGATGTTGTTGCTGTTGTTAAGTGCCCTCGAGTCGGTTCCGACTCAAAGCGACCCTGTCTAGGGTTTCTGAGGAGCAGCTAGTGGGTTTGAACTGCTGTCCTTGTGGTTTGCAGTCGAGTGCTGATCCTACAGCGCCACACCAAGAGTTCTAGGGAACAGAGCTGCGAATTTGTCAAACAAGGCCTCTGCTTTAATTGAGCTAACGACTTACGGAGGAATTCACAGAGCAAACGGCACTCAAGGCCAGATACTCAAGACCTGCCAGCTCGGCAGACAGAAAGGCACAAGCTTTCCAATAGACCAAAAGAACTGGAGAAGGCGTGAGCCCAGAGACCTGTTGAATCCTGGGATAGAGGCTGTTTCATTGGACGCTGCAGACCGGAAGAATCCAAAGTGGCGAGGGGGGGTGCGGATATGATGATTGATTAGCATACACGTAGTCTTAAAGAATTAAAGAGTGAATATCTACACCAGGAAAAAAATCTAAGAAGCGTTAAACTACGTTATTCCCATATATTTACTTGCGAAATTTTGCGACACCCTAACCCGCGTCTTGGCGAGATTGGACTGGTCCAACCAGCTCTTAGGAGCAGTAGAGTGCCATCAGTATAGAAAGGCCCCCTCACAAAAGGGGCGTGGGAAAGTGTTCGCGGGGAAAGCTGGGAAATTTCGCCCTCCGCCACCATCTTGCTTTCCTTTAACCTGGCGGTGACCGGGGCTTACACCAATCTTAAACCATGAAGCTGTTAACCAGAGCCGGCACTCTCTCGGTGAGCATAGGCGGCGGGCTTGGGGAACAGCTGGGAAGTAGTTTGTCAGTAAGGTTGTAGGGCCAGAGGTGCCTGGTTTGGGGCTCCGAGGCCTTGAGCTTCGGTCTGCCCTTCAGCTGAACCCTGCGCGCAAAGTGGGCTTGTGTGCTGGGTCGGGCATTGAAGTCCCAGCGCGTGCTCTGATCAGAGACTTTTTTCCTTCGGGAAATCAGGAGAGGGCTTGAGAGCGGTGGTGAGGCGATTCGGTGAAGAAGTCTCTGAAGGTCACTGCACTTGCGTGCCGTAGGAGATCACGGGATTCGGGGGCAGGAGACGGGTACAAACCCAGTCTTCACACTGGCCGTATCTGCCGCCGCCTCTACTCCTGGGTGTACCACGGAGCATCAGTTTCTCCAACCGTTAAATGGGCTTATGAGTAAGGTTATAAGGAAGTGCGCTCATTAATGCAGGTGTGCCGCCTATCACGATGCTTGGAACTTCCGTTAGCTACTGAGGTGTACTGGCAATATAACGTGGTTTTCCTGATGTCTTATTAGACAGTTCCTCCAGAAAGCTTGGTCTCCAGAGCTGCTTTGGGCTCCCGCCCAAACTTAGCTGTCACTTGGAAACTCAAGTGTCAGTATCTGTCACTGTAGAGCATTCGTTGTCATCTCCCTCATCCCCCCCAACTAGGGAGTGATGAGTCTCCCAGGGGACACTTGACAATATCTGGAGACATTTTTGGTTATCATAACTTGGTGAGGGGGCTTCCATTAGAGGTCAGGGCTGCTAGGAAGCATCCTACTAAGCACAGGACAACCTCCCCCTAAGAAGCCTTATTTGTTGTTGAGTGTTATCGAGTCGATTCCTACCCATAGTGACCCTGTATAGGGTTTCTGAGGAGCGCCTAGTGAGCTTGAACCTCCGACCTTGCAGTTCAAACGACTTTGCAGTCTGGCTCATTAGCCCACAGCATCACACCAGGACTCCAAGAAGCATTATATTGTGTGCCGTCGAGTCAATTCTGACTCATAGCGACCCTGTATAGGGTTTCCAAGGAGCAGCTGGTGAGCTTGAACCACCGACCTTGCAGTTCAAACGACTTTGCAGTCTGACACATTAGCCACGCCAGGACTTTAAAAAGCGTTATACAACCCCCAAAATCAGCTTGTTGAGATTGAGAAACCCGACTAAAGGGAGATGCAAAAGACCAGGTTAGGAAATAACTTTTCACTGCATTATTGTTAATATCGAGGTACTGTAGATTTCGCAAATGACTATAATTGTTTTACTCTCCCTGGCATCTCTAGACAACTAATAATTGAGAAGGCAGATCAGTTGGATTGATCAAAGACCCCCAACTCCCCAGCCCCTGCTCTCATTTCCATTCATCCTCACCTTCCAGTAGAAAAAACTCCAAGGTAAGAGTTGGAGAGGACCAAAGTAAATAAATTGCAGTACAGTTGAAAGCATTTATGTTTCTAATTACAGTGCTTATTTTTACATGAGAACAAGTTAGTGCACAGTCTGTATTGAAATAAATACAATCCAGCATCTTTATGACAATTAGTGAGCTAGTTCTTCGCAAGTTCTTTGAATAGGACAAATTGTCATTCAGTATTCAGGTTCATTTAAGGGGAAGGCACCCTCATCTCTCTTGGCAGTGAACTATGAATTACTTGTATTTGAATTGTTTCATCCACAAATCTTTCAATTTACTTTTGTAAAAATCAAAGCCCAAAACCACAAGTAGTGTTAACTATACCATCCCCTGCGTACTTAACTGAGTACTAAGAGCAAATGTAAACCAGCAGCCAACTTAGTATAGCATTGATGCTGAATGTGCCACATACAGCCCTTCTGGGTAGGTGCAGAGTGGGAACATTGAGGCTTCTAATGGCAGTACCAGGGGACTCCAGCAGCATGTTCATTTGAACTTGGGAGTACCATATTTCATTACCTTTTAATAGCTCCACTAATAACCCTAGGCATAATCAAAATGGTTTTTGTGACATTGCATATCACTGGCCCATAACCAAAACCTGTTGCCATGAAGTCGATTCCAACTTCCCAACCTTAAAGGAAAGAATAGAATTGTGCCATTAGGTTCTCCAGGCTGTCATCTTTAGGGAAACCCACTGCTACATCTTTCTCCTGTGGAGTGGCTGCTAGGTTTGAATACTCCACTTGGGCTCCTTCATTTGTCCATGAAAAATGGAATGAAGTTTATTTATGTTAGATCTATTCTCTGACATTTAAGAGAATTCTTTTAGCCCCACAATGGCTATGTATTTATTATACCTTAAGAGTATGCCATGGATGAAGAAGCTATTTATTAATCATTTTAGGATGACTAAATTTTGGATGTAATCAGCAAAGGTAAAACTTGTTAAAGATTGCTAAAAGAAAAAATCAAGGAGATGAAATCATTTCAATTGGAAATAGAATCAAAAGATGAGACTTGAGAGAAGATAAGGGAGGCTGTTGTACTAAAATCTATAAAAGGGAGTAAAAAAAAGAGAAGGGTATGGTTGTGGTGACTTCTGTTTCAGTAAAATTTCAGAGTACTAGAACTACTTGGGGAAGTGGGGGGAAATCCCACCCTTGCCATCGAATGACTTCTTACTCAGAGGGATGCCATAGGACGTTCTAGAAGTGCTTCCTAGACTGTAATCTCAAAGAAGCAGACTGCCGCAGCTTTCTTCCATGGAGAGGCTGGTGTGTTTGAACCACCGATCTTACAGTTAGTAGCTTGCCGCCAGGTCTTCTGTGACATTTTAATAGCATTGTGGCACTGTGAGTTAATGTGCTGGACTGCAAAGTTGGTTTGAACTGCAAGGTCAGCAGTTCAAGCTCACCAGCTGCTCTTCGGAAACCCTATACAGGATCACTATGGATCACAACCGACTCAACGGCACTTACCAACAATAACAATTAAAAGATTTTTATATGTATATACACACACAGAGGAATTCTTTACAGAGTAAAAAGTGCATTTATTGTATTCCTAGAAGTTCTGCAACAGCTGCTAGAGATTTGGGAATGTCTTGGGTAAACTGATGGGTTAATAAATACATAACAAATTATTCAGATAAATCCTCTTATGAGGATTTTATCATTCTCTTACTCTCTCATACTCTTGTTTGGGTACCCTAGGATCCAATGCTTTTATGTGAAGTCTTGTTCTTATGAGAAGAATTTATATAACCTCTCCTTTGTGTTTAGAGATTTTATTCCCTCAAAGTTGCTCCCAGAGTTAAAGCCTCAGCTGCCCCTGCAGGAGCACTCCCACAGTCTCAAGACCTTGAGGTTAGTCCCATATATTACCTACTGGAACCAACATATACCTCTTACTCATTGATAATACAGAGATATTAATCACATCTCTCCTTTATTTTAAATACAGTTTACCAAATTACCAAATGGTTTAGTGATTGCTTCCCTGGAAAACTATGCCCCAGCGTCGAGAATTGGTTTGTTCATTAAAGCGGGCAGTAGATATGAGGACTCCAGCAATTTGGGAACCTCTCATTTGCTGCGTCTTGCATCCAGCTTGGTAAGTATCTTTACTTCCTCAGTATGTTTGGTAATGCTGGAATCTTGCTTCTAAAAAAAGACAAACTTAAAAGCAATGCCCCCCAACTTAAGGTAATTTAGACAGGGTGGTTATAACAAGAAAAAAAAAACCACAGGATGTTAGAGAAGCAGTAAAATAGTATCCATCTGAATGTTGGTGTTAGATTATAAGAAATCAGTAAAAAGAATGACGAGAAAAGGAAAGAAAGTACTAAAAGTTAAAATTATTCCTTCCCCTTTGAAAGTCTATTTCAGAATACACTAATCAATCTAGTAAGCTTGTATTTGATAGTAGAATTTTTACCTAAGTATACTTTATGTAAAAATATATGCTTGTGCTTTTTGGTAAACCATGTTTTATAATTCTCAAGATTGAAAAGGATCTGCTTATATACATGAAGTTTCTTTTGAATCTAATGACAGACATTAGATTTTGATAAAGCATGATGTATCCTAAACTTGGCATTGAAGAGTAACTAAAAATAGCATTCTTTGTTTATCAAGACTACCAAAGGAGCGTCATCTTTCAAGATAACCCGTGGGATTGAAGCAGTTGGTGGTAAATTAAGGTTTGTTAAAGTAAATAATAGAAATTAAAGAGTTGAAAAAATCAGAAACTATGCAATTGTAAGTGAAATTTTCTGTTAACTGAGTGGTAAAGGATTTCTTAACCAGGGCACAAAAGGAACAGACTAATGAATTTGACCACATCAAAATGTAGAACATCTTTATGCATAAGTAAAATAAAAATTTCAGTGACTCAATGAGAGTAAATATTTACAACTTACATAATATGCCAAGGATTTCTCTCTGGAAAAACAAAGAACTAGTAATATGAATAAAAGATAGGGATAAGCTGTTCCCAGAAGAGAAACTAGAAACACTGATCTGTACTTTTAATCAACAGTGTGCTATCATTTCAGAGTCATCTGGTAATATGTGTTGGCCCTGGTAAGACAGATAAAAACATTTTATACTGCTTGTGGAATATAAATTAGTATAATCGCTTAGTAAAGAATCAGGAAATGTCTAGTAAAGTTGAACATGGACAAACTCAATGCCCTTAACTTGGATGGTTTTTAATTCACATGCATAAAGATATTCTCAATCTTTGTAAAAATCGGAAACATACTAAATAGCCATCATTAAGAAAAATGGATCAGCATATAGTCATATGATGGGAATGCTATTTAGCAAATTAGGAATGAACTAGATCTGTATACCAACATGGCATACAGTGTGTGAAAAACTAGCATACTTGTTTGTGAAAAAACAAGTTTCAATATTTTTAAGATATAATGCATTTGGAATTTTTTTTGAATAAAATACTACTTATGATTATGATTATCTCTAGAGTAAGAACAAGGCATTGACATGGAATGGTGTAAAGAGGTTTTCAACTTTGTTGGTGATGTTTTTTGTTTTAAACATATGTATTATAATGGTTGTACGATATGGTGAATATAATATCTCTAAATTATACATTAAAAGTTGAGTTGTCAAATGCTACACTTTTATCACTATTATATGTATGTGATTTTTTAGTTGAGTATATGTGGGTTTTGTTATATTACTGTTTGAGCTTTTTTAAACTTATAAACATTTTTTTCCCAGAGTTATTGGTTATTTAGCATGAGGATATAATGGACAGCTTACTTTCAGATTGCTGTAATTCACTGTAACTTATTTCCAATTCAGTGTGACCACAACAAGGGAACACATGGTTTATACCGTGGAATGCCTGCGAGACGATATGTAAGTATCTGCATGTGCTCCAGACATCTAACGTTAACGAAATGATAAACTGCTTAGGGCTTGTGTTTTAGTAATGAGGAATTATAACCCCTGACGTTGATTCCGGATTCTTAGTCACAAACCGCTCATAACACTGTACTTTTTGTTGAGTGCCGTCGAGTCGGTTCTGACTCATAGCAAACCTGGTTTCTGAGGTGCAGCTGGTGAGTTTGAACTTCTGACCTTGTGGTCCAGTGCAGTATCCTGATGTGCCACTCCAGGACTCCCAACACTGTATGAAATGGGAGGGGTTTTTTTTTAAAAAAAAAAGACCCCCTAGTACAGTGTTTGTTTTTTAAGACCCCCTAAAACACTGTACCTGGGGGTCTTCAGAAAAATTGACAGGAAATGTTTATCAGGAAAACCTGTGCATGGATTTCTGCACTAAAATAAGCTCATACTGATTTGTTACAGGACTTCTGGTGTGGCATTGTAGGATCAGCACTGGACTACGAATCAAAAGGTCAGCAGTTCAAACCCACCAGCTGCTGCTTGATAACCCTATACAGGGAACCGACTTGACCCCACTTAATAATGGCAACTTGTTATAGGAGTGCTGGTGGTGTAGAATAAGCACTGAACTGTTAAACACAAGGGTAGTAATTTAAACTCACTGCCACTCCATGGGAGAAAGATGAGGCTTTCTGCTTCCATTAAAATTCACAGTCTCCAAAACCATTTACAGGGTCAACTCATGTGAGTTGGGACAGATTCAATGGCAAACAACAGCTTGTTATAACATGTCTGAACAGGATGTAGTTTGAGGCACTAAGAATAATCAGACATCCGTTTAAAAAGAACCCCTATCAGAGCAACATGAATTCAGCTAAAATTGAAGCAAGAACAAATATCAAATTTATGGTGAAGTTTGGATAGAAGAATGGTGAAATCATTCACTCTTTATGAAAAATTTATGCGGACAATACCTCAGAGAAATGAGGAGTTTTTACAAATGGATAACTCATTTTAAGAAGGATGAGATGACTGAACCATAACGGAAAATACACGAACCATAGAAGACAAGCTAGATGGCTGGGATTTCCTAAAATTAGACACTTTGTGCACCAAAAGATTTACCAAGAGAGCCCACAGACTGAAAAAAAAAGTTTTGGCAATGTCATATCAGAAAAGGGACTAATATCCAAAATGTATTTAAAACTTAACACCTCAACAAGAAAAAGACATATAATCCAATTAAATAGTCAGAGGAGATGATCAGAACTTCACCAAAGAAGATATACAGGAGGCTAACAAACATGAAGAAAGGCTTGTGATCATGAACCATGATTGTTGCCAAGTGCCACCAAGTCAATTCCAAGTAACTGCAACCCTGTCCATGGTTTCTGAGTAGTGACTGGTGGATTTCAACTGTTGATCTATGGTTATCCCGCATCTTCACACCAGGACTCCACACTAATCATTGCTGTTGCTGTAAAGTACTGTGGAATCAGTTCCAACTCACAGCAGCTCTGTATAGCATTTCCAAGGAGCAGCTGGTGTGTTTGAACAACCAATCTTGTGGTTACCAGTCTAGTGCTTGTCCTATAGCCATTACAGTGAAGTATCTCACCCCAGCATTAAATAGCAAAGTTCAAAAAAACAACAAATGCTGGTGGACATGTGAAGAAACTAGAATATTCCCACACTACTGGTATGACTATAAAATGTACAACCACTGGAAAACAATATGGTGTGGCCTCAAAAAATTGAAAATAGAAATACTGTATAACCCAGCAATCCCTGTACTTGGTATATATCCTCAGGAAATAAAGTCATGACACAAATAGATAATAGGCACATCCATATTCTTCGCAGCACTATTCACAATAGCAAAAAGATAAGACAGCTTAAATACCCATCAATGGAAGAATGGATAAGCTAACTGGTATATACACACAATGAAATCCTATATTATACAACATTGAAGCATTGACAGACCTGTGAAACACCTCATGACATCGATGAACTTGGAGGAAATTATGCTGAGTGAAATGACTCACAAAGGGACAGATACTGTATGTGAAAGAAATTCTTTGATGGGTATCATGTGGGAGGGAAGGGAATGTAATTCACTGGCTAGAGGGTTTTGTTAGTGCCATTGAGTCAGTTCCAACTCAGCAACCCTGTGTAGGGTTTCCAAGGAAGGGGCTGGTGAGTTTGAACTGCCAACCTTGTATGCATGTGTTAAGTTGGGTGATGGGGAAGGCGATATACAACAAGAAGGAGATTGGCAAAAGAATGATAAAAGTAGGGAAGACAAGGGGAGGAATGCAAGAGTTGAAGGGAATAGAAGTAAATACTGTTATATGCACAATCCTGAAATAACAGTGATCCATGGGTAGCTACGTGGATAAATACACAGGCTGAATGGGTATAGGAGGGAGAGTGGAAGTACACCCACAAATATATAAAGGTTTGACAGGGTGTTTGTACTTGGATGTTTACTGTTGCTGCAGACATATACATGACTATGGTGGAGCAGGTTGCTGTTGTTACGTGCCATTGAATCAGTTCCATCCCGTAGCAATCCTGTTTAGGGTTTCCAAGGAGCAGCTGGTGAGCTTGAACCGCCGACCTTGCAGTTCAAATGGTTTTGCAGTCTGGTGCATTAACCCATAGTGCCACACCAGGTCTCGGGGATGTCATGGTCAATTGGCATAACATAACCCACAAACAATGGTCTGCATCCGACTTTGTTTAGCAGCAAGTAGGATTTTAAAAGCTCATGAATGGCCATCTAAGGTGCAACTGCTGAACTCTGCATGAGCAGAGGAAAGAAGTGTGATGAAAATTGAAGGTACTTGGAAACAGTTCCTAGCTACCACTATCAACGATTCTGGAAGGGATCAAATATGAATTTGAGTGAGAGAAAACGTGGAACAAAATTAAAAATTATAAAAAAAGACCAAACTTAATGGTCAGAAAGAGACTGGAGGAACCACAAGACTATGTATGGCCTTTGGTCACCTGTCAGGCGGAACTGAATTTATCCTCGTGCCTCAATTTTCATCCAAGCAGTTATATGGGCGGGGAGGATAGTGATACTATTGAGGCATGCTCACCTTGGGACAGTCTGCTATTAAAGACCAGAAGGGCAGCATTTACCTGAAGGCAAAATTCAAAAGGGTTGGGAAAGAAGGAAAAAAGAAAACAATCTCAGGGAGGAAATGTGATAAGGGGTGTTACAGTGAGGGAATTGCAATCATTGAAATGAAAACAAATGTTTGGTTTGGTGAATATAAAGCTGATAGTCTGCTCTATAAACTTTAATTCATAAGAAGCTTTTTGGTTTTGTTTAAAGAAGGGACAAAATAGTGTTGAAGACCAAGCTTTCAGTGATAAACCATCCACGTCAATTTGTGAGGAAAAAAATTAATCTTGTTTGTGTCCTATCTGAAGAAGACTGACAGCTAACAGCAGAATCAATAGCCAACTCCACAGGTGTATCACTTGGTTCATCTTAACCAATTCTGACTGAAAAAGTAAAGTTGAGCAAACTTTCTGCTCAAAGGGTGCCAAACCTTTTACACCCAGATAGTTGCAAGCAAGAGCTGAACTTTCCATGGAAATTTTATTGGAAAGTGGAATCCTGAATCATTCTCAAAAGATATGTAACAGGAGAGTTTTTTTTTTTTTTAATGTTTTATTGTGAATTATGTGATAGTTTACATGGGAGAACATTAGTTTTACATACATTCTATCGTGTATCGTTTCATTGCCATGGTTACAATCCCCTCCATGCATCATCAACCAACCAAAGGGTATATACTACAGCCTGCACCCAGGTCGTCAGCACACAGCCCTTCTCCCTCTCTGGATCTAAAGTCTCTAGCTGCTCCATCTCTCCACGTTATCATCTCTGCCTCCGTCTCTGGCGTCACTACTTCTCTGGGTAGGGTCCTGCTCTCTGCTCTTCTCCATTGATGGTCACAGGGATCCCCGTTCCTAGACTGAAAAGTTAATCACTCCCCGCCTTGCTATAAAACGTCTACCTTTACATTTCCAACCCTCACAATCAGTCCTGATAACAATTATTCACTACTGTATCACAAGAGACCCATCTGCATTTCATTTCATCAGCTCTGCCTAGACAGATTAGATACTACTCAGTGAAGATTTTACCTTCTTTCATGCCCTCTGAATCTAGGTTCCCTCTTGAAAGCTTGTAAGCCAATCACTTCTTGCCTTGTAACAGGAGGTTTTACCAGTATGATTCTGAAGGCAAAGTAGTGGCTCCCAAGAGGTGGAAATGGCCAATTCAAAGCAAAAGCAGACTTGATCAAGAATAAAGATCATGGCAGCATTTTGGGGGATTTTCAAGACATTTTGCTTGTTGGCTTTTTGGAGGGACAAAGAACAATAGCGTCTGCTTATGGAGAAAGTTAGCCAAAGCTTTAGCAAAAAAAAAAAAAAAAAAAACCTGCCTGGGAAAGATTTATCAGAGGTCCTTCTCCAACACAACAATAATCCTATTCATTCCTCTCATCAGGCAACAATTTTGAGAGCGTTTTGATAGGAAATCACTAGGTATCCACCTTATAGTCCTGATTTGGCTGACTTCTTTATGTATCCTAACCGTAGAATATCTTTGTTACTAGGTGCAGTCGTGTCGGTACCAACTCATAAGTGACCTTATGCACAACAGATAGTAATGCTGCCTGGTCCTGTGCCAATCTCACAGTCATTGCTATGCGTGAGCCCATTGCTGCTGCCACTGTGCCAATCCATCTCATGGGGGTCTTCCTCTTTACCAAGCATGATGTCCTTCTCCAGGGACTGGTCCCTCCTGATAATATATCTGAAGTATGAGAAATGAAGTCTGGCCATCCTGGCTTCTAAGCATTCTGGCTGTACTTTTTCCAACACAGATTTGTTAGTTCTTTTGGCAGTCCATGGTACTTTCAGTATTCTCTTCCAACACCATAATTCAAACATAAATATGTAGAAAGAGACATAGAAAATTCCTATCTTCAACCAAAACAAGACCAAGGGCAGACTGGAACAGTCTCATGTGCAACTTAAGGGTAATGCAAAAGAAAATTAATTAAAACAAGTCCCATGAGAATGAAAAAATTATCTTGAACACATCCCATTTGAATTTAGAGACCATCTCAAGATTTGATGCATTAGACACTGATGACTGCAGACCAGAGAGCTGTGGGAGGACGTCAAGAATATCACACAAGAAGAAAGCAAAAGGTCATTAAGGAGACAAGTAAGAAACTCTCAAAATGGATGTCATTAGAGATTCTGAAACTTCCTCTCCAGCATAGATACGCTAAAGCAAATGAAAGAAATGAGGTAAAAGAACTAAACAGAAAATCTCAAAGGACAGCTTGAGAAAACAAAGTCAAATATTATAATGAAATGTTAGAAAAACAAAAGGAGAAGAACACGCTCAGCTTTTTTCAAGCTGAAAGAACTGAAGAAAAATTCAAGCCTCAATTGCATTATTGAAGGATTCTATGGCACTTGACTATAAGGTCGCTTTGAACCACAAGGTCAGCAGTTCAGGCTCACCAGCTGCCCATTGGAAGCCCTATACGGGTTTACTATGGATCGGAACTGACTCTACAGCACTTAGGAAAAAAACATCAAAAGAAAATGGAAGGAATAAATGGTCTATGTTCAACCATTTCAAGGGGTAGAAAATCTTTAAAGGGCACCTATTTTTCTTCAGTTAATAATGTAAAAAAGACTGACAGGTTTTTAGTAATGCACTAAATGGTAATCACAAAAGAGTCTATCTTGAAGCTTATGTTGAGAAGGTTTCTGTTTTTATTTTTTAATTCTGCTTTTCCACAAACTTTTTGAAGCCCACTCATATTTAATCATAAGGCTTAGAGTTTAATATTGAAAGCATTCTAGCTATGTAGAATCGTAGACATTGATTTTAAAATTTAGACTTGTAATTCTTACCTTGATGTCTTCTATAGCGATATTCTAATGGAGTTCCTGCTCAATGTCACCACAGCACCAGAATTTCGGCGTTGGGAAGTAGCAGCCCTTCAGTCCCAGCTAAAGATTGACAAAGCTGTGGCTTTCCAGAATCCACAGGCACGTAAGTACATTTTCAGACTGCACTTGTTTCAGAGACAGTAGCTATTTGAGAGAAAATGGATTGTATAGGGAACAATTGCTATTGAAATTTTTTTCTATTTGAGTTTGTGAAATTTCCCTGTCCAAAAATTTTGTCTGTTTAAAAAATGAATAAACTTTTGCAGTTGTTATTTTATCATATTTAATATCATAAGAATTGATTATAAAATCCAATCCTGCATTTTATCCATTTCCCCAGTGTGTGTGTGTGTGTGTGTGTGTGTGTGTATGTGTGTGAACTGAGTGATGGTTTACATGGGAGAACATCAGCTTGGAGGAGATTGTAAATATTGCAGTGAAATGAAGGTTTTTTGGGGTGGGTGACGGTGGGGAGAGGTACACAAAAAAATATGTAATTATTTAAACAACCAAAGGGCACATTCTGCAAGCCTGCCTCCTGGCCGCCAATACTCAGTCCCTCTCTTTACATGAGTCTAGAGACCTCAGCTGCTCTATCTCTCTGTATGTCCTCATCTCTGCCTCCATCTCTGGTGTTGCTGCTTCACTGGATAGGGTTGCACATTCCGCTTGTGCTCGTCTCCCTTGATGGTCCCAGGGTTCTCTGTTTCTGGACTGTAAGATTTTTTTGTTACAAAACTTCTACCTTTACAGATGTGACAGTTACTAACTATTGAATCATAAGCATCTTATCCCCATCCCTTTTCACCAGACCCATCTAGACAAGATGAAAACTATTTTGTGGGGATTCTTTCTTCCCCTGCACACTCTTGAAAACTTGTAAGCCAGTCAGTTTGTGCCTTTATCACCCCCTCATTTTTGGTAGCCAATGTGTAAGTTGCCTGTCCATATCTACCCTATATACAGAGGGGAGGATAGGATTGATGCTTGATGTGAAGGCTCCTCTCTCTGTTGGTATTTTGAGCTATACACATCCATATGAATATGTCAAGTTCATCAGATTTATCATTTCATCAAGTTCATCAGTTTACCCTCATTTCCTTTATCAAAAAAAAATTTCTTTTTAATCTTCCTCTAGTCAGCCCAGGGTCTGCTCTGCATACGGTTGCTATGAGTTGGCACTGACTCTATGGCACCTAACAACAAGTTGAGTTCTGATTATCAATATCAAGGCTAGGTCAAATGGGTACTATCTTCAAGTTGGGTATTCTTGTGCATCTCCCCTTACTTCATATCAGCTGGATGCTTCACTCTCAGCTGTAGCCCTCCGTGGCTATGTCTTTGTCCATGTGCTCGGGAGTCACCAGTCTCACCACACTTGGGACCAAACAGCCCTTCCTCTTCTCTCTCATCTCCCGGTCAACTGGAGTCTATGGAACATGGTTGGACTCAGCCGATTTCTTCATTGCTGCCTTTCCCCCTCACCACCAGTCTGTTTTGACTTTTGTGGCTGTATAGTATTTTTTGAGAACAGGAAAGATGAGGTCCCCTACTTCGTTCAAAGTTGTTGTGTGCCATTGAATCAGTTCTAACTCATAGGTTTTTTGTGTAGGGTTTCAGAGGAGCTGTTGGTAGGTTTGAACACTGACCTTTGGTTGCAGTCAGTCCAGTGTTTATCGTACAGTGCCATGCTAGGACTGTTTGTTCAGAGTAGTGCTTTGCTTTTTAGGGGTCTCTTTTCTTTCCACATAAAGGTGGTGATTAATTTTCTATCTTTTAAAAGAATTGATGGAGTCTGAACCAACATTACACTATAGATTTCTTTGGGTGGTGTTGACATTTTCACAGGTATTCCTATCCATGAACATGGTGTAGTCTTCCATTTGTGTAGGTCTCTTTTGGTTTCTTGCAGTAAATATTTTGTAGTTTTCTTTGTATTGCTCTTGTTGTTAAGTATTATCAAGTTGGTTCCAACTCATAGCGATTTTGTATGTGGTTTTAGAGTAGTGGCTGGTGGATTTGAACCACCAACCTTATAGTTAACAGTACAATGCCTATCCTATAGCTCCACACCAGGACCTAACCAGAAATACTGAAGATTTTCTTTGTATAAGTCTTTTTAATTTTGGTCCATTTTATTCCAAATTATGTTTTTTACTTTTGAGTAAAGGTTTTCCGTTCAACAGATTATACGCTTCATTCCATCTCAATTGCAGTGGCCTCAGTGTAACATCACTTATCAGTTCTCCCACTTCCTATTTTCGTTCCGTCGTCTCTCCTTCCCCTTTAAAATTTGTCCTTAGATAAATGCTACCCTTTTGCTCTAAAATGGTTGGTCATTCTAAGGTGTGCACACCTCACTAGTATTATTGTGCCCCCAATATACCTGTCTATGGCTTGACTGAATACTGAGTCATGAGGGTGAGTTCAGTTCCAGAACTGAAAGGTGTCCTAGAGCTATAATCGCAGGGTTCTATTAGTCTCTGTGTGACCAGTAAGCCTGGTCTTTATGCTGTTTGAGCTTTCTGCTACATTTTCTCCCACTCTATCCAGGACCTTCTAATGTGTTCCCATTCAGAGCAGTTGGTAGTGCACGTGGTCCGTTAGTCCACTGGACTAATTGTTTTCATGCTTACTCAGTTTCTTCCTTCACTCTTTTTTTCTCCAGACAGGGAGACACTTTTGGTGAGTAGTGACTGATACCTTAAAAGCTCGTGAATGCCCCTCAGGTACAGGTGTTGGTCACTCCCTGTGTGGAAGAAAGAAGAGTGATGAAAATTAAAGACATTTGGAATCGATTAGTCCTGCAGACCAGGAGTGGTGGTTTGTGGTTCTGTGCCGTGGAGTTGGTTCTGACTCATAGCGACCCTGTATAGGGTTTCCGAGGCTGTAAATCTTTATGGGAGCAGAAAGCCTCATCTTTCTCCTGCAAAACACCTGGTAGTATCGAATTGCTGACCTTGCAGTTCGTGGTCCAATTTGTAATCACTATGCTACCAGAGACATATGAGTATCAATCTCCACAACCCTGAGACCAGAAGAACTCGATGGTGCCCAGTTACCACTACCAACTGCTCTGAAAGGGATCACATTAGAAGGTCCTGGATACAGCAGGAGAAAATGTAGAACAAAACTCAAAATTATTTAGAAAAGAAAGAAAAAAGACCAAGCTTACTGGTGAGAAAAAAGCTGGAGGAACCCAAGACTGTAGCTCTTTTGTCACCCTTTAGGTCTCGAAACGAACTCACTGTGATGACTCACTTTTCAGTCAAGTGGGGAACAGCAACACTAGTAAGGTATGCACACCATGGAATGGTCAACAAACCATTCAAAATTAAAAGGACAGCATTTAACTAAAGACACAGTTTAGAAGGGTTAGGAAAGAAGGTAGGATAGATGAAGAGTCATTGGAAGGAAGTGGGCTAACATGTTTCACGGAAGTGATTTGCAGTCATTGAAATGACACAAAATATATGATTTGTCAAATGTCAAACTGATGATCTACTCTGTAATCTTTCACTCAGTTCACAGTGAACTTTTTTTTTTTTCAAGTGACTGGTTTAAGATAGATCCTGCACTGGTAAGGCCTCTTAGCAAAGGCAACCTCGTCCACTGGGATCACATATACACATAAGGGATTAGGATTTACAAGGCTGTCCAACTCCTTGATTGACCTTAACAGAGGACCCAATGAAGCCAGGCCCACAAATACAGTGAAATGATAAGTGTGTGTTGTTTTGCAAGAGAAAAAAATTGATCTTTATTTAAATTACATTTCAGTACCTGTTTTTGTCCTTATCCTACAGATATCATTGAAAATTTACATGCTGCAGCTTACCGGAATGCCTTGGCTAATTCCTTATATTGTCCTGATTATAGGATTGGAAAAGTGACATCAGAGGAGGTAAGTAATAACGTCTGTTACAGTTTAAAATGTACTTGTGTTTCCTGTTAAATTTGAATGTTCATCTGCCATTTCAGGTTTGTCTGCTAGTATTTCTTTTTATTTTCTAATAGAACTTCAGTTTGCTTGCCTATTTACTTTTTAATTAAAATTCTATGCAAGCAATTTTTGTATATTTTTAACTAAAAAATGTTACTATAAAAGAAACATGCACACCACATAAAAGTCAGGAAATAGAGACAAGCAAAATGAAGGGGGGAAAACCTCACACCCCTCAAGGCACTCAATGTTAAGTAAGACCTTGGTCTGGTGTTTTCTAGGCTTTTGTGCTGTGTATCTTATTTTTAGACAAATTTTACTTGTTTAAATATCGTAAGTCCTTTGACTAGAACTCTGGTTTAGCCTGTCTGAATACTTCTAGTTGTTAGGTGCTGTTGAGTTGGTCCTGATTCATAGTGACCCCGTATAGAGTTTCCAAAGGGTGGATGATGAGGTTTGAACTGCGGACTTTGCAATTCAAACTGACCTTGTGGTCCAGTGCATTATTCTGCAGCACCACACCAGGATTCCTTAAATCCTACTCCTCTTCTTGTTGTTAAATGCAGTCAAATCGGTTCCAACTCATAGCAACCCTGTATAGGGTTTCTGAGGAGTTTGAATGCTGACCTTGTGGTTTAAACCAACCTCACGGTCCATTGCTTATCCTGCAGTGCCACACCAGGACTCCTACCCCTATTATCTCCTAAATTAAATTTCTCAACAGAGAATAATTTGGAATGATCAGAACTGTCTTAAGTTTATCTGACTTGGAAGTTAAGATTTTTATTCTCAATTCAGTTCCAGTTGTTAAGTACTGTCGAGTTGGTTCATAGTGACCCTGTATAGGATTTCCAAGGAGACACTGACTTTGACTCCAGGACTCCAGTGATTGTTGTTAAATGCCATTGAGTCAGTTCCAACTCAGCTACCCTATATAGGGTTTCCAAGGAGCAGCTGTTGTGTTTCAACCGCTGGTCTTACAATTCGCAGTCCAGTGCTTATCCTACATCACTACACCAAGATTCCAGTTAGCCGCTACAGAAATCTGAATTTTATATCCCTTTCCTATTTTACTCCTCTTTTGACTTATCTTCTGACTTAAGAAAATAATGCATTTATCGGTAAGTATGTAGTGTCTGTAGCATAGTGTTTATGAATCAGGCTGTGAACCACAAGGTCAGCAGTTCAAAACTACCAACTGTTCCACGGGAGAAAGATGAAGCTTTCTGCTCCCGTAAAGATTTACAGCCTCGGAAACCCTGTACAGGGTCGCTATGAGTCAGAACCAACTCTACGGCACATAACAACAACAACAACAACATCATTAAAGCACTTTTTAAAAAGTCATAGCTGATAATAATCAACTTGAGCAGCCAACGTTTGTCATGAGACTGACCTCTAATGCATTTTGAAAGTTTGCACCAATCTAACACCTTCCAGAAGATGTGTTATTGAGGAAGCTAAAAGAATACACCCAATTGACAATGTTGTTGTTAAGTACCATGGAGTCAGTTCCAACTCATAGTGACCCTGCACAGGGTTAATGAAGCTGTAGATCTTTATAGGAGCAGAAAGCCTCATCGTTCTTCAGTAGAAAAGCTGGCAGTTTCAAACTGCAGACTTTGAGGTTAGCAGCCCAATTTGTAACCACTACACTACCAGAGCTCTTTCAATTCACAAAAATGGTCAAAAAAAAAAAAGTATTATGGAGTAATAGAAACCTGTAGTAAATAAAAAGATATAAATATGAACCTATTATTTCTTGACATATCCTCTACCCAGATCTATACACTTCTGACGGTGATCTTTCCACCCCTTCCCCAAGGAAGTGGTGCTGTAGGATAAGCACTGTACTGCAAAATTGGTTTGAACCACAAGATAGACAGTTCAAACTCACCAGGTGCTTCTCAAACGCCCCTCCCCAGGGATTACTCTGAGTCAGAACTGACTGAATGGCACTCAACAACCATTCTGCGCTCTTTGACTCACACGAAAGTAAAGTGACAGTTTGGGCATTCTTGAGGACTCAAGTCATGTTCTTTGACACTGTGTTTTGAGTTTGGGCAGCAAAATCTGAAGGGGCAAGGTCAGGGCTGTAGAGTAGATGAGGTAAGGTTTCTCAGTCAAATTCTCAGGGACAACCCTTTGCTACCCTTGAAGAATGACCAGGTACATTGTAGTGATGGAAAAAAATGCCTCACTGCAAATTTCATGGCCTTTTTCTCATCAACATAGTTTTCAATTTTCTTAAAACTTCTTCCCAGTAAGTCCCTCTGTTCCTTGAATGTCCTTCAAGATTACCCCTTTGGAATTCAAAAATAAACAGTCTCCATAACCTAAGCCAACCTCTGCTTTTAATTGAACTGACCCAGCTGATCCCCTCAGAGAAGCCACTGTTTTTGATTTTTTTTTGAAGGCACCCTAAAGTGACTAAGACAAGTGTTATTAATTGAAAGAACTTGTCTCCATCCATCCACTGATTTCAGAGACACATTTAAACACATTTTGTTTGGAATAAACTTGTACATATATAAACTGGAATCTTGGTAACAATACTTTTTGACTTACTTTTGTATATTTGTGCTTTATACATAAAAGTGAGATATCTTTCTTATTTCTAAGAATGTGTTTTCACCCTGTTAATGTCTGTTTTGACCTTGTTGTTATGTGCCATGGAGTCAGTTCCGACTCATAGTGACCCTGCACAGGGTTTCCGAGGCTGTAAATCTTTACGGGAGCAGAAAGCCTCATCTTTCTCCCGTGGAACAGCTGGTAGTTTCGAACTGCTGACCTTGCGGCTCACAGCCTGATTTGTAACCACTACGCTACCAGAGCTCCTTGTTTTGACCTTACTTCTGTATATTAAACCTAAGTTAATAATAGGATGAGGAGACTTCAAAAAGTTCATGGAAAAATTCTCTTGTCTTTCAGATCCATTTATCCTCAAACTTTTTGAAGTCCCCTTGTATAAACCAGTGATCCTCTGATCACAATGACCCTCCAAGTCCTCTGCTTGACTGGTTGGGTAGTTTCAAACAAAGGTTTCAGGATACCACTTTGGATCTACTAAATCAGTCTGTAGAGTTGGACTCAGGAATTGAGGAAAGGTGGGATCAACAGTGTTTGCTTTTTGTTTTGTACATTTCACAGGTCATCTTCATTTCCCACGTTGGGACCTTGGGTATAGACCTCCTGGCAAGAAGTGCTTTTTAAAAAGTGGTTTCAGAGAGGGGTTTAGAGATAGAATACTATAGCCATACTATAGAGTGGTAATAGTGATTTAATTACGAATCGGGCTGCGAACCTTAAGGTCAGCGGTTCGAAACTACCAGCCGCTCCGCGGGAGAAAGATGAGGCGCTCCGCGGGAGAAAGATGAGGCTTTCTACTCCCGTAAAGATTTACACCCTCGGAAACCCTGTACAGGGTCGCTATGGGTCGGAACCGACTCGACGGCACTTAACAACAACAACAACTTATTGACAATCCAAAGTACTACGAAAATTACATTGTGGTAAGTCAAAACAGACTCTATAAAACCAAAAACACACCCACTGCCATTAAATCGATTGCAATTCATAGCCACCCTATACATGGTTTCCAAAACGAAATCTTTAACAGCCTCATCGTTCCCCTGAAGAGCAGCTGGTAGATTTGAACTGCCAACTTGTGGTTAGCAGCCCAACACTTAGCCCACGGCACCACCAGAGCTCCTTTCAGACCATATGTTGTTCATAAGTGTCATTGAGTTGGTTCCAACCTATAGCGGCCCTGTATAGGATTTCCAAGGAATGGCTGGTGGGTTTGAACTGTCGACCTTGTGGTTAGCGGTCTAGTGCTTAACCACTTTTCCTACTGTTAAGCCCGTGCATGGCCCAAATTCCAGTTCCTTTTTTAAAGATACAGTTCAGATACCATACAATTTATTTCATTAAAATGTACAATTCAGTAATTTTTAGATTAACAGCGTTGGGCAACCATCATGGCAATGAAGGCCTAGTCTACAATAAAATTCCAGTGAAGTTCAGCACTAGCAGCTTTAAGCCTAAGTGTTTATTTTTGGTGTAACTATACTTTTACATTTTTACAAATTTTTAATTTACATATTTTTATTAAAACCTAATGTTTTTAACTTCCTCAGCTACATTACTATGTTCAGAACAATTTTACAAGTGCAAGAATGGCTTTGATTGGACTTGGTAAGTTGGGAATTACCTGTCTTATCATCTGCTTCCTTCGTGGTGGTGGTGGTGGTGGTGTGCCGTGGAGTCGGTTCCAACTCATAGCGACCCTGTACAGGGTTTCTGAGGCTGTAAATCTATATGGGAGCAAAAAGCCTTATCTTTCTCCTGTGGAACAGCTGGTAGTTTCGAACTGCTGACCTTGCAGTTTACAGCCTGATTGGTAACCACTATGCTACCAGAGCTCCTTTGCTTCCTTAGTAGAATCCTTTAAATTAATTATGTGAACACAGAATTGAAAGCAATTTAAAGCTCATACCTGTCAAATAGGCAGTGTGTATGTGATGGATTTTGTTTAATTGCTTATCAGTGTTTTAAAGTACAACTTAATGGTAAAATAGGCAAAGGATATATAAATAAAGTCTATATGTATATGTATGTTTATGTTTGCTGGTCATTGTAAACGTTTTTAGAGAAATACCTATTTAAGCTTTCTTTTGATTGGTTTATCTTTTTGTTGTTGAATTCCAAGAGTTATTTCTATTTTCTGAGTAACTAGACCCATGTATTTATTTATAAATAAACTTCTCCTGTGGATTATTTTTTCACTCTCTTGGTAGTATCTTTTGATATAGGACACATTATTGTTTTGTAGCAAGATATTGGAAACCTACAAATGTCCATCATAGGGGATTTATTAAATGGTGGATTGCTGGGGTGGTGCTGTGGGTTAATGCACTGGGCTGCAAAGTCAGGTTGGCTGTTCAGGCTCACCAGCTGCTCCTCGGAAACCCTATACAGGGTTGCTATGGATCAGAATCGACTCAACAGCACTTAACAACAGCATGTGAAAATAACCATTAAATGTTTATGTAGACCACTCAGAAAGATAAGTTATAAAAGACAGTTAAAAGCAAGATCAACAAAGTACCACCGTTTTAAAAGACGAGGGTAATTACTAAGATGTGCACAGAAAAAATTCTAGATGAATATAACAAAGTATAAAGAATTAGCTTCATACTTTGTTAACATTACGTGGAGGACTTTTTTCTTTTTATAATGTTTCAATTTCATAGTATATATATTTTTTAAATATAAATAAGGAATAGTTGTATACTTGTGTTTTAGAAATTTTGTTCTAGCTTGTTTGTGTTTCTGTTGAAATAGGTGTGAGCCATCCTGTTCTAAAGCAAGTTGCTGAACAGTTTCTCAACATGAGGGGTGGTCTAGGTTTATCTGGAGCAAAGACTGTCTACCGTGGAGGTAAGCATATTGTTCTGTTGTGATTACTGTTTCTCCAGGAAGTTTCCACCCTAGAATAGTAAACTGCAAACTGGTGGTGCAGCCGGCTTTGGTTTCCAGCCAGTGCACTTCATGTGCAGCCACTGTCTTGTCAGCAGAGGCTTACGTGTCGCTGTGATGCCGAGCAGGTTTCAGTGGCACTTCCAGACTAAGGTGGAGTAAGGAGAAAGGCCTGGCAATCTTCCATAAATCATCCAGTGAAAATGTTACAGCTCATAACCGTTCAGTCTGCAACCAGTCATTGTGCATGGCTTCAGTCCACTGGATGAGAGTTAACAAGGCCTGATTTATTTACTGTCAAAAAGTCTCATTATGGAAGGAAAGCGTTAGATTGTTTGGATGTTATATATTTAATATGTGGCTTTTTGTGTGTTAGGGGTGGGTGGAATTGTATTGGGTGAACGCAAGTTAGGTGTTTCACTGTGTCATAAGGAATGCTGAAGAATAAAACGTTGTTCTTCTCCTTATGTGACTACAGGTGAAATCAGAGAACAGAATGGAGACAGTCTGGTACATGCTGCTCTCGTGGCAGAAAGTGCTCCCATAGGAAGTGCAGAAGCAAATGCGTTCAGTGTGTTCCAGCATGTGCTTGGTGCCGGACCATATGTCAAGAGGGGCAGCAACACCACCAGCTCTCTGTACCAGGCTGTTGCCAAGGGAGTTCAACTACCATTTGACGTGAGTCTAAGCAGTCCATAGCTCTCCTGTTGGTTTTAAAGGCTTGGTATTGAAAATGTAGTCCACATAATCTGCAGTTAAATTTAAGATGGACACAAAATTGAAGAGATGGTCAGACTTGATTTTGGTACCTCAGAAGCTCTGTTGTAGATTTACTGTCTCTAGTTATTCTAATCTGGAAGGAAAAAAATGCTTAGAAATAAAACAATCAAATTCATACTTGTTTCCTTTAGGATAAACTGTAAAACAGCTTCCTAGATTCTAACTAGTCTTTTTTTGTTACATTTTCTGCTAAATTCTCTGCCTCCTATGCCTGCTTCCTCAATTCCATTGTTCGGTTTTCCAACCAAGTGTACATCAGAAAACTGCATCACTGGGTTTGGGGGCAGGGAAAGCAGAGGCAGAAAGTGAAAACTCCTCTGCCAAAACCCAAAAAAAGAGAAAGAGTAGTCCGCAGAAAAACTGCAGAGCTTTGGATCTTGTTTAAGTTTCCGGGCGCCAGTGTCCCATGCCCACCTGAAAAGAAATCTGCCTGTGAAAGCAAAATACGGTGATTTCTGAATCAGTCCAGCCATGGCCGGCAGCTAGAAGTGCTCAGGCCAAAGGGCGGGGCGACAGTCAAATGGAGGCAGTGACCCTGTGCTAGAAGCCGCAGAGCAGCACGTCTGGAGGGAGAGATGTGACTGATTTTTCATCTTTCACTTTTCATTTTTCATGTATATCTCCTCTTCACCCTCACTGCACAGCCCTCACTGCACAGCCCAGATGCCTTCAGGCAGGCGGGAACACACCCCCAAAAGGGTCTAGCATTGCACCCACAGTTTTCCAACAGCACAGAAAGAAAACCCGCAGACTGCTTCTTATGATGTTCTAACCCTGGGAACCAGCCCCTAAGTTAACCGAGGCAGGACCCTTTATCCCTGCCTGCACAGCAAAGGCCAGTGGACAGTGTCAATCACAATATTTTTGTTTTTGATTGGCAGTTTCTGTCTCTGCTTTTATATTGTTTCTGTCTTTGGTCCTTTTAGCCTCACTCTTCTCCCAGAGGTTAGAGCTTTCTCCCCTTACCTTACCCAATAGGAGACAGCAACTGTGTCCATATAGCCAAGCTACAAGCATACCCTATAATACCCCACCATCTGGACAAGAGTCAAAACCAGCTACTAGGCATTACACGTGAAAAGGGAAGCCTATCTTCTGATCATATCCATCAGGAGACACTCAGCAAGCTTAACAACAAAGCAACATACATCCATTTAAGCATTAAAAACTCACATAACTGCTGAAAATGTCCAAGAAAATTAAAGATCTCAACAACATGTCCAAAACCAAAAAAAGTAATAGACAAATGAGCTGGAAGCAGACAGACTTTCCAGGCTCTGGGTCTGCCTGAGAAGAATGATATAGAAACAAATTCAAATGCTCCTAAAACATGTGGAGGAAATCAGGAAAGTGCTACAGGAGCACTCAAACAAGATAGATACGGCATTAGAAACAATCCAGAACCTGCAAAAGAGTCCAGATGATTAATAATATCAGAAAGGGACAATACACTGAAAGGGCAAAGGAGTAGAATGGGAGAGATGGAAGCCAGAACCAACAAGCTGGAAGACAAATTTCTCAATACTGCTAAGCTAGAAGAACAAGCAGAAAAAAGGATTAAAAAATCTGAAGAGAGGCTGAGATTCATGCTGGATACCATGAAGAGGAATAACTTAAGAATTATTTGCATTGCAAAACAGAAAGACTCACAAAAGAGATAGTTGAAGAGCTTCTGGAAGATAATTTTCCTGACATCTTGAAAGATGAGATGATAAAACATTCAAGAAGCTGAAAGAACCCCAGGAAAGAGAGAACCCAAAAGAAAATCACCGAAACATATCATAATCAAGCTCGTCAAAATCAAAGACAAGAAGAGAATCCTAAAAGCAACCAGGGAAAAGAGAAGTGTTGCCTACAAAGGCAAGCACATCAGATTAAGTTCTGACTTCTTAGCAGAAACCATGCAGGCAAGAAGGCAATGGGAAGACATATATAAAACCCTAAAAGAAAAAAAAAAACTGTCAACCAAGAATCGTCTATCAGGCAACACTGTCAATCAAGTACGATGGTGCAATCAAAACATTCCAGGATAAACAGAAGCTAAGAGATTTTGTAAAAGCCAATCCAGTGCTTCAGAACATCCTAAAGGGAGTTCTTTGGAATTAAAAACCATCAAGAACGGACAACAACCAGAAATTGACAGACGTGGCAACACCACCTGGAACTTGGTCGATGGATAGCAGAGTTCAGAACGGAACAAAATTACAGCAATGAATTCAGAGGACCTGTGAGGCCAATCAAACTATTAACAGTGTCAAAGAAGGGAAGGGAAAAATATAGGAACAGAGATCCAGGTGGTGAGGAGGTAAGTTAGACTGCAGGATACAATAGACTGTCTTAAATGCAGGGAAAACTTAAAAGACTATCGGGCAACCCCAAAGAAAATTAATACTTCACAACTTAATGAAAATGAAGATCCAAGCAGAACAAGAAAACATTAAAACAAAGAAGAAACTGACAAGAAATAGCACAAAAAACATGAAAGCAGCACAAGAAGGCATGCTGAACAGAGGAACAAACACACAAAAAACCAAACAAAACCACAAAGAAATAACATAATGACAGCAGTTAATCTGTACGTATCGATAATTACACTGAATATCAATGGATTAAAGCACCAGTGAAGAGACAGAGTGGCTGAATGGATAAGAAAATAATATGTATGCTGCCTGCAAGAGACACACCTTACACACAAAGACAAAATCAGACTAAAAGTTAAAGAATGGAAAAAAATACGCTACGCTAACAGCAATAAAAAACAAGCAGGAATGGCAATACTAATCTCTGATAAAATTAAGAGATAAAGAAGGACACTACCTCATGATTAAAGGGTCAGTTGAGCAAGATGACCTAACCATAATTAACATCTATGCTCCAAATGGAAGAGCACCAAGATATATAAAGCAAATCCTACTAGAACTGAAGAAAGAAATAGATAAATCTACAATTAGTCTGGGATTTAATATGCCACTTTCAAAAAGAGATAGAACAACCAGAAAGAAACTCGAAAAAGGAGGAACTAAACAGCACAATCAACCAACTTGACCTCATAGACGTGTACAGAGCACTCAACCCAACAACAGCACAATATACATTCTTTTCCAGTGCACATGGAACATTCTCCAGAATTGATCATGTGTTAGGTCACAAAGCAAGCCTCCATAAATTTACAAACATCAAAATACTACAAAGCATCTATCTATGTAGATCACAATGCCATAAAATTATATATCAACAATAAGAGGACCAAGGAAATAAAGTTTAATACATGGAGACTGAATAACAAACTGCTGAAGAGCGACTAGATAAAAGAAGAAATTAAATGTGAATATAAAAAGTTCCTAGAAGCAAATGAGAACAAAAACACAACATACCAATATCTGTGGGACACAGTGAAAGCAGTGCTGACAGGACACTTTATTGCAATAAATGCACACATCCAAAAAGAAAAAAGAATCAAAATTAACACAACATCTCCAGCAACTAGAAACAGACCAACAGAGGAAACGTACAGTCACCAAGAGAAAAGAAATAATAAAGATCAGAGCAGAAATAAATGAGATAGAAAACAGGAAAACTATAGAAAGAATCAACAGAACAAGAAGCTGATTCTTTGAAAGGATTAATAAAATTGACAAATCATTTGCAAACCTAACAAAAGAAAAGAGGGAGAAGACACAAATAACATGTATTAGAAACCACATGGGCAATGTCACAACGAACCAAAGGAAGTCAAAAGGATAATAACAAAATACTATGAAAAGTTGTACTCCAACAAATTTGAAAACTTAGAAGAGATGGAAACATTTTTAGAAAAGCACGACCTACCTAAACTCACAAGGAGTGAAGTAGAAGACTTGAACAAACCTATAACAATAGAAGAAATTGATCAGGTCATCAAAAAACTCCCAACCAAAGGAAGTCCAGGCCCAGATGGCTTCACTGGTGAGTTCTACCAGACATTCAGGAAAGAGTTGTCATAAAGTCTACTCAAATTACTCCAGAATATAGAGGAGGATGGAAAACTTCCTAATACATTTTATGAAGCAAGCATAACCCTCATACCAAAACCAGGGAAGGACATCACTAAGAAAGAAAATTACAGACCAATATCCCTCATGAACATAGATGCAAAAATTCTCAACAAAATCCTAGTCAAAAGAATCCATCATCAAAACAAAAAAATAATATATCGTGACCAAGTGGGATTCATATCAGGGCTGCAAGGGTGGTTCAACATTAGAAAAACGATCAACGTAATCCACCATATAAATAAGAAAAAAGAAAAGAACCACATGATCATATCAATTGATGCAGAAAAGGCACTTGACACACAGAGTTTAATACATGGAGACTGTACTTAAACAATAGCACTATTTGCAGTAGCAAAAAGACAACCTAAGTGCCCATCTATGGAAGAATGGATAAATAAACTGTGGTGCATACACACAGTGGAATACTGTGCTACCCTGAAGAATAACAAGGAAGCAGCAAGCTACCGCATAACATGGATGAAGCTTGAAGACATGCTGAATGAAATCAGTCAGTCACAAAAGAAGAAATCCGGCATAGATCCATTATTGTAAAAGAATAAGAAAAAGCACACACTCAAAGGGGAAGAAAAAAATTTTTATCTTCTTTATTATTTTTTTGTTGGTTATTGGGGTGTATGGGCTGGGGTGAGGGGAAGGTGGAACACGGGGTAGGGAATAGACAGAATTTGGGTGCTGGGGGGTGCATACACTAGAAGGGGAAGGGGAAAGGGAAAATACGGCAGATGGGAGAATAGCTAGGCAGGTTTACATGGGCTAAATAGGACAAAGGTAAATAACGATCTAAGCACAAACATGGAACAACAGGGCTCATGGATACAAAGACTGAGGCATGGTTTGAATGGATAAAAATGGGGAATTGATGTTAAGTTGCTTGGCTGTCTTTTGAATTTTGGTTTACCTTGCCTACTGCTGTAAAATAGACACTTGATGGGGAGAGAGAGGAATAGCCAGAAACATCACTAGAGAAAGCTTGTAAGTCCATCTTCTAACTATAACTGTTTGGAATAACTAAAATGGGGCTAGAACTTTCCCAGTGAAGGAGGCTCCCTGCAGAGGCTTTGCGTTGCACAAGACCATAGGTGGAATCCTGATCCTCATCCAGAATCTTCTGATTGAAAAGACAAGCAGTCCAGTCTGGAGCAGCTAGAAGAAAGAAAGAAAGAGCAAGACTAAAAATCAAGAACAAGAACTGCAGTCCAGTTGACTACTACAAGAACAAGCAAGTAGTTCCCCAGGGAGCCATCGAGGCAAGTGGTCAGCTCCCCTCAAGGCAAACCCCTTCCAAGACTGAAACTCAGATGGAGTACACTAGCAGGTATATGGTCCTGCTGCTGACCACGTTGGTCACTGATAAGTGGAAGTGGGGGGAAAACAGCAATGAAGTTGTGAACTAAGTCCGACCACATTCAATAGACTCCTGTTAACATAGATCGAGACCTGGATAACCAGCAGTATGATGAGATCTGGGAGCTTCTGGGCCCAGGGGCAGGGACATGGCCCCAGAGGACTAGTACAGAGTGTGAAGCATCCAGCTAATATAAAGAGAGATGGGAAGCACAAGAACACCCACACTTGCAGATAGTACCCATTTGACCTGGCTTCAATGGCTACATGATCAGAACACAACTAGAGGAATAAAGAAAAAAAAAAAGAAAAAGGAGTAACCTCTCCACCACCACCACTACTGTAAGTGGATGAACTTGACCTATGCTTGTGGATGCAGTATGACAAAGGAGCGGACAAATCTCTACAGTGAGGATCATTCCCACTCCCATGGTATACAGGGTCAGCAGGGATGGGGAACTTAGACATTGGCTACCCAAAATGGGAGGACTACACATGCAAGAAGTGACTGGCTTACAAGCTTTCAATAGGGAACCTAGCTCCAGAGGATACAGGGAAAGGTAGAACTTCCACTGAATTGTTTCCAACCTATCTGGATGGGGTTGATAAAAGGTGGGGGGAAAGGACTCCTGTGGTTCAATAGGGAATGATTGCTATCAGGTCTGACAGTTGAGTGTTGGAAAGGTAAATGTAAATGTTTAGTAACAAAAGGAGGGAAGCGGCTGATTTTGCAGTCGAGGAGCGGAGATCCCTGGAACCATCAAGGGAGAAAATTGAAGTGCGAGACCCTGTCCAGGGAGGCAGTGACACTAGGGATGGAGGCAGAGACGACATGGACAGAAGGAGTGGCTGGGGACTCTGGACTCAAGGAGGAAGAGGGGTTTTGTGCTGGCAGCCAGGGGTCAGACATGTGGGGTGTACCCTTTGGTTGTTTGATGATGCATGCAGGGGATTGTGATCATTGCAATGAAACAAAATATGATAGGATGAATGTAAAAATAATGTTCACCCATGTAAACTAACACATAATTCACAATAAAAACGTAAAGAAAAAAAATAAGTGCTGTGGAGACCCTCCTGTCTCCATCTTGAAGTTTTAAATTTAAAAGGTGATATTTAACCTAATTCAAGTTCATCTTACCTTCGAAGATACCGTTTTTTGTCAGGGAGAGGAAAATGTTAAAGCTTTCCAAATAATGATATTCAAATTGGGAGAATATAATATGCCAACCAACAGAGTGTTCTTTTTTTTAGTCCAATACAATAAATTACGTGACTTTCAATAGTATACTTTTAAAGGCAAGAAATGTACTGAATTTAAAAAAGTTTTAACAAAGCAAGGCTTTAGCTATTTGACACTTTACAGTGGAAATTAAAACCTGCTTGCTTCCTGTTGTTAACTCCTGTTTAATACTTACATTGTAGTTTTTCAAACACTTTTTTCTTTGTTTTTAAGCAGTTTCCCCACCTCAGTGTATTACACAGAAGTTTGAGCTTTTAAAATTATTTAAAAGCTTACTTGACTGTGAAACCCTTAGAATCTTCCTCACGGAGCCTTAAGGTTCCATGGCGCACAATTTGAAAACCTTATCTTAAACCCAACCCAACCCAGTGTCATCTAGTCAATTCTAGCTCATAGTGACTCTAAAGGACAAGGCAGAACTGCCCATAGGGATTCTAAACCTATAGTCTTTACAGAAGTCGATACCAACTCAATGACACCTAACAACAACAACAACAGGAAGGGCACTGCAACAAAGCCTATTGTTGAATATAAAACTGATGTGCTCTGTAAACCTTTACTCAATTCAAAATTAAAAGTTTCGAAAAAGGCTGTTGACCTGTCCTTTGCTCTTCTGCACTTTTGCTTTGATTAAACCAGTTCCACCTCTTGGTCGCCACTACTTTGTACCTTTCTCTTCAGGATCTTGATCCCACTTGTTTAAAATTTCTTTTGAAAACTCTGCTCTTGTCTGCACAACAGTAAAGTTTGCTCAACTTTTTCAATCACAGTTGTATGAGCTGAGCCAGTTGAGATGTGAGTGATGTTGACTGTTATTTCTGCTGTTACACTGGTCCTTAAGATTTCATTTTTCCTCCCAGAAATTGATGTGGCCAGACTGCTGCTGTGGGCTTCATCTTCAGCATCATTTCATCCATTCTTAAAATGAATTAGCCATTTGTAAAGTTCTGTTTTTTTTTGCAACATTATACCCATAAACTTTTCTTAAAGCATTAATGATTTCATCTTTCTTCCACCCAAGCTTCACCATAAATTTGATGTTTGTTCTTACTTCCATTTTAACAGGATTGCTAAAATTGCTCTGCTTGAAACTGATGTCTTACCTTTCTTAATTCTACCTGTTGTTGTTAAGTGCCATGGAGTTGACTCCCACTCCTAACAACCTTGCATAGGGTTTCCAGGACTTCTCAGTCTCCTAGGGAACAGAAGCCTCATTTGTCTCCCATGGAGTGGCTTAGCAGGCTTATGAATTTTTCATGTCAGTCCTTGCTATGGTCATCGTAAACTCCCACCAAGACGAGGTCAGAGAGGATGCTGATGCATTATATGATCCACTTGTGTGGATTGCTGATTGCAAACACTTGGAAATCTAGTAAGGGGCATGGTCAGGGTTACCATCCTGCTGGGTTTAAAATGAGCCATCCCAGACACCGGAGGGGGGATGGACTACGATCATAGAAGAGCCAGGAATGGAGTGTGTCCCTTGTACCCCAAGATTCCTGTGCATTGAACCTCCTGGACCAGAATGCTTTGTCATCAGAGAAGCATCAGCAGAATCAAGAGCCAGAGCATGAGACAGACCAGTGGGCTTCTCAGCCCACCAGGCAAGTCAAGCTGAGTGACTTTGGGCAGAAGACTTGCTTGCAGAAGTGGGGTACATCCAGGCATGTAATTGCTGACATACAGAGCTAGAGCCAAGTGCCTTCAGGCTGAGGTTTATGGTAATGTGTCCTGTCAGCAGCCCTGAAAAGCTTTGTGACATTGGCCAGGCACAGCTGAGGAGAGGCTGTCTTGACCAAAGAACTGGATCCTAAGCATTTCTGATCATGAGTTGTAACCTGTTAAATTCCCTAATAAACCCCATAAGAGTTTGGTGTTCTCTGTGGCCATTGCAATGAATTCTCAAACCTACCTAAGCAGAGAAGGCTGTGGGAAGGATGGTTTGGTGCATATTTTTGCCGTGAAGTTGTGAAGTTGGTTCCGACCCATAGTGATCCTGTATAGGGTTCCCAAGGAGCGGCTGGTGGGTTTGAACCACTGACCTTGAGGTTCAAACCAACCTTGGGATCAAGTGCTTGTCTTACAGCGCCACACAAAGACTCAGCCTCAAACCAGAACCTGAATTCTTTTGAAATCTACAAGTATTTGTACCCCAGGTGGTCCTTATACCAGTGATTTACATAAATCCTATAAAGCACTAGACTAGGCAATGACATTCACGTTCAGAAGCTGGAAATAGTGCTTAGACTACAGACAGTAATCCTCTTGGTATGCAGGGGCTAAACTTCTTGTTACTTTGAACATCTGGCCACTTAACAGAATATTTCTCTAGTCCTTTGACTTTAGTCCATAGAAGTGAATGAGAATTAGTAAAAAAAAAAAAAAAGCTACCACCAACATCAGAGGAAAGATACCAGGTCTGTTGAATACCAATGCCCTAGATGCCAAAAATTGGTACAGGTTCAAAGAGATCTGTGTTGCTTGACCATACCATCTCTCTGTTATAGTAATATTTATAGAAAAGTGACTTTTAATCATCAATTGGTGTGTTCTAAAAGAGGTACCCTGTGTACAGAACAGTCCCTTGCTAGAATTCATTAAGTGAACTATTAAATTATTTTGATCATGTTATAAGAGTATAGGGGCCCTGGTGTGGCACTGTGGGCTAATGCGTCAGACTGCAAAGTCCTTTGAACTGCAAGGTCGGTGGTTCAAGCTCACCAACTGCTTCTTGGAAACCCTATAGAGCGTCACTATTGGTCGGAACCGACTCAACAGTACTTAACAACAATTTAAGAGTATATGTTTTTGTCTAGGCAACTTTAGGTAATTGTTTTTGTCTTACCTGGTGGAATAACATACAGTAAAATTAAAATTTTATTATATTTCAGGTTTCTGCTTTTAATGCTAGTTACTCAGATTCCGGACTCTTTGGGATTTATACCATTTCTCAGGCTGCAGCTGCTGGAGATGTAAGTTGAAAACTCATCAAATTGCATTAACAAGTTTTTTTTTTCTTTTAAATGTTTTCACTATATTTATAAATGATTTATTAGAGCTCTGTGTAGTAAAAGCGTTAGAGTATACCTGCTATGAGACAAAGTTTAAAATGTATACTGTTGCTTCAAGGAAAAATAGACAAAATACCTCCTTTGTATTATGGTTGCATTTCAACAAGTTTCCTTGAATCAACTGTGTGACATCTACATTTGAGAACTCAAGAGAGGCTGTGGCCAAGATGTGTACTTATTTGGGAGTCGTCAGTAGAGAGATTGTGTCAAATGCAAGTTATGGATGAAAGATTGTAGGTGAAGAAGAGAGAAGCTAGAGTTGTGGGAAACAGCACCATTTAAGGAACAGGTGACTAAGAACAAGGACTAGGAAAAAATTTAATGCAAAAGGGGCCATGAAAGAGCAACTACGAATCCACTAGGGTTAACATCCCATTAATTACCACAGGAAAGTTTGATATAGTGGACACACAAGAGGAGTTCAAAGGTGATCTTTGCAGTTTTCACCAGAGTAATAGAGGAAGTGAGCTGAAATTTATAGTTCTTAAGGAAGGAGTCAGTAGAAAGGAAGGAATGCAAAGTTTTTGTAGATCTTAGTTTTGCTCAGAAGAGGGATGGGAGCTTTAGGAGAGTTTACCTTGAGAGACTTGAGTTGGAGGAGGAGGCATTTATACTGAAAAGGAAAAAGAGAATGGAGCAGATAAAAGAGGTAGAAAATTACAATTGGGTCCAATCTGAAGAAGCAAGAGCAAGTGGGACCAAGCATAGAAGTGGACACGGTAGCCCTGGACACTAAAGCTAATGCTGGAAGAAGAGGATGTCACAAAGACGGGAAGCACCTCCTTGGTAAGGCAGCCTAAGTCGTGTTTTGTGAATGCCAAGAGTGTTTCAAGGGAATAAGGAGCTTTGAACGAGTACGAACGAGGAAACACACTGAATGACCATCAACCCCAGCGTCACTGTCTCCTTTGACCGGGATCTAGTGCTGTCAGTCAGGGCATTTTGTCATTTTCCTTCAGTAGCATTCACTCCCTTAATGAAGCAGGCAAGCAATGGGATTAGTCCCAGGTTGGAATTCTCCAAGGATCAGAAATATGCAGAGGTAACAAGGGGGTCTGGCGCACAGCAAGAGTGATTAAAGGGATGATCCATGGGACTGGGCTAGATGAAGAAGTAAAGCCAAGGGGCCAGAGAGGTTGAGGGAAAGTGGGCATTTAAGGAACTAGAGATCTCTTTTGGGGGTGGGGAGGAGTAAGGAGTTAGGGTTAGGTCTAGGCTAGGCCTAGGACTTGGGAACTAGAGCTCTTGATAAAATTGAGATACAAGAATAGAAACTGAGGTTGGAGATTTTAGAATTCAGGACTTAAGGTAAGACAAAGCTAGTTTGTCTAAGCCTGGGGTGTGGCTATGGCTAGCTAAAATGGAGGGAAATCAAGAGCCCAGAATTTAGGTGATCATGGCGTACAATGAGTAGCAGACATAGGATGATGCCAGTTGAAAAGACAAAACATGGAGTAGTTTTACTAGTATCTTTACTTAACAAATATTTACCAAGCACCCACATCACTAGAGCTTTATTCCTTTTTTTTTTTTTTTTTAATGTTTATTGTGAATTATGTGATAGTTTACATGGGAGAACATTAGCTTTACATTCTCTCTCCGCCCCCCGGTTGTCATCACACAGCCCCTTTCCCTCTCTGGGTCTAGAGTCCCCAGCCGCTCCATCTCTCCATATCATCATCTCTGCCTCCATCTCTGGCATCACTGCTTCTCTGGGTAGGGTCTCATACTCCACTCTTCTCCCTTGATGGTCCCAGGGACCTCCGCTCCTAGGCTGAAAAGTCAATCATTCCCCTACTTTTGCTACAAAACGTCCAACCCTCACAGTCAGTCCTGATAACAATTATTCACTATTGTACCACAGGAGACCTATCCCCATCTCCTTTCATAGCCCCACTCAGACAGATTGGATACTA